GGGTGTCCCTTGTCCCGACCTGGGTGTCCCTTGCAGAGGGTGACAGGGCCAGCCCTGAGCAGGGTGTCCCTTGTCCCGACCTGGGTGTCCCTTGCAGAGGGTGACAGGGCCAGCCCTGAGCAGGGTGTCCCTTGTCCCGACCTGGGTGTCCCTTGCAGAGGGTGACAGCGGTGCCGTGGTGGTGCAGACGGCTCCGGGCAAGGTGGTGACCCACCGGGGCGGGACCATCATCCTGCCCTGCCGCTACCACTACGACGTGTCCGCGCACGACCCGGCCGAGATCCGCCTCAAGTGGACCAAAGTGACGGAGCCCATGGCCTTCGTGGACGTGTTCGTGGCGCTGGGCGAGGCCCGGCGGGCGTTCGGGCCCTACCGCGGGCGCACGGCCCTGCAGGAGGACGGGGCGGGCGACGCCTCCCTCATCATCCGCAACGTGACCCTGCAGGACTACGGGCGCTACGAGTGCGAGGTCACCAACGAGCTCGAGGACGACACCGGCGTGGTCAAGCTGGACCTCGAAGGTACCAGCGCGGGGGACGCTCCCGGGGGTTCGGGGGAGGGCTGGACGACACCGGGTGTGAAACCCGACGCCCAAAATGCCCCGAAAGGACCCTCCGAGGCTCTTTTTTGAGCGCCAGAAAGCAAAAGCCACTCGTTTATTTATTTATTTATTTATTTATTTATTTATCCCTGCTCTGCTGGGTGCGTGGGAATCGTTCCCAAAGTGCCCCACGCCGAGGTGCTCGTGGTGGTTCTGTGCTGCAATATTTGACATCGCATCACCTGTTGTAGCTCCTTCCCATCCCACACCTCCCGGATCGGAGTCAGTGGTCCCAAAGACCCCTTATCTTCACCTTCCTCGTCTTGATCCCTGGTCCCTGGCACGGCAACACACCTTCTGGGATGGTTTCAGGGCTTCTGAGCAGCTTCAACTGGGTTATATCAAGCAATGTGCCTGTTATGTCTTATTCTAAGAGCATTTTATGCAGATAAAATGTTCTTTACTGGGCTACCACCTCTGCCCGTCGGAATTCTCGACGGGAAACAGTTAAACGGCGTTTTCAGAAACCTTGCATGAAGGTGCTGACAGGACAAAGTGCTAAAAGCTGCGCTAAATCTACACAATGTGGGTTTTAAGGCACCAGCAAGATGATACACAGCCCCCCTCCCAAAAAAATGACAGGCAGGGGAAGTTCAGGAAAGTTTGATCCAAAAGTCGGGAACGCCGGACTTAGAGAGGAAAAGCTGCCACCCCTCCTGTTCCCTGAGAAACACACCCCTCCTGTTCCCTGAGAAACACACCCCTCTTGTGTGGGTTTTTATCTTCCCTGCCCTCCCTTCCCAGGCCCTCTCCGAAGTCCCGCAACCGGTGGGAGTTTCTCTCTCCTCGTACCTGTGACTTCCCCCTGGAATGCAAGAGGAGAAATCACCCCGATTATCCACATTACCCCCGAGCAAGGCGCTTCTCCCGGGGCGGGGCAGCATTCCCGGGCGGGACGAGCCCCATCCCCTGGCCACGAATCCCCCAGGAAGGATCTCCCCCCTCCTCCCCTCCAGCGTGGGATGGTTGGGATGCATTTCCCGGTGCCTGTGTCCCGTTCTCCCGGGAGCCTGATGCTCTTCCCGGCGCGTGCCGGTGGTTTATTGCCGCCGTTATTGGCTTTTCGCTGTTGCTCCAGGTTTATGGGATGGCAGCTCGTAAACCCCGAGGGCAGGCGGCAGCTCCGGGGCTCGTAAAGCACCCGGCTGGGGGGGATGAGGGGCTGGGAGCGGCTCCGGGGCTCGTAAAGCACCCGGCTGGGGGGGAAGCCGGGCCGGGAACAACCCCCAACCCCCCGGAAAGGCCGGAAAAGGGGAAAAAAACTTCTTTTTGGGGGCCGCTGCGGGGGTGCCACGGCCTGGCCGGACACCAGTGGTGTCCCCGTTCTCCCGGAGCCTGGGGGTGGAACGGGGATCCCAAAAGCCACAGCGTGGAGGGTCTGGGGGCTCTCAACCCCCTTCCCCCCGAGCACAGGCAGGGGCAGCCGTTTGTGGACAAATCCTGGGGGCAAGAAAGGAAAAAAAAAAAAAGGGAAAAAAGCAGCGAGGTTTAAAGGAACGTTGGATCATGAGACGCGGAGTAAAAACTGAGCCTGAAAACGGCTTTTTCAGAAGGTGATGTTAAAAACTTTTGCCGAAAGCAAACTGAACCGCAGCCAGCCCGACCCGGGGCGGGTTTGTCGCGGGTTCGGGCAGGGGAGAACCTCCCGCCCCCCAGTCCCCCCCCCCCCCCCCCCCGACCCGGGGCGGGTTTGTCGCGGGTTCGGGCAGGGGAGAACCTCCCGCCCCCCAGTCCCCCCCCCCCCCCCCCCCGACCCGGGGCGGGTTTGTCGCGGGTTCGGGC